TGGGCCTGAGGGAGGGGCCGCGGGGAGGCAAAGTTACGAGTCAACAAACCAGGTGCCACAGGCCTGCGCAGACCTAGAGGCTTGCTCCCGGGAGGCAGGGTGGGCGGCAGGGGATTCCCCAGAGGCGCTGAGCAGAGCCTGAAGAGCCCTAAGTGAGGTGCCTGGAGTTCAGGGGCCGCTGTTGCCACGACAGGAGGGCCAATCCCGTTACCAGGGACTAATTGCTTTATGCTAATGAGCTCTGGGAAACCCTGAGGCCACTGCTTTGCTGGGGGTTATTTACCTAAATGGGGAGTTCGGGAGGTAACGGCCCTTCCCGGAGCTCCAAGAAAGCCCTCAGCAGACAACTTCACTGCGAGAAGGCGGTGAGGGTCCCCGTGGGGGGCGTGTCGTGGACACACACATACATGTACAGGTACAGTGTTTTCACTGACAGTCTGCTTTAGGCCACGATGGATGTTACATTTTCCCATCCCCATTAGTTTAAAGGCTCTTGTGTAACTAATAAAATTATTCCTAAATACAGCCAAGGCCCAAGACTCCAGGAGGAGGATGGCTGAGGTCATCTGAAGGCATCTGTGTTTCCTGAGCCAATCGTTAGCAGAAACACTGTAATTATTTTTTAAATGTTAAAGTTTTTCAGTTACAGCTGACATTCAACATTATAGTAGTTTCAGGTGTATACATAGTGATCAGATATTTATATACCTTACAAAGTACGTCCCCAATAAGTCCAACACATCGTTATTAAATATTGTGTTACTGTATGTATCGCTATACAATAATGTTGGCTGTATTCCCTATGCTGTACTCTAGGTCCTGTGACTATTTCGTAACTATCAACCTGTACAGGCTGATCTTTCCCCCTTCCCCCAGCCCCCCACTCCCTCCCACAACTGCTGATCAGGGACTTGGGATGTGTCCACTGCCCTGCTGGCGGGTCAGCTGCACGCTCAGGTGGTGTCATAGGTACAGGCCCCACGACCACCCCCCAAGAAGCAAAACTTAATGCGATTTAGCTGTGGGTGTAACTGGAATGTTCTTTCCTTGTCTTCGAATGGCTGGTTCCTTCTGCTGTTTAAACTCAGGAACGTGTCACCTCATCGGAAGGACCCTCCTTGACCCCCAAACAAGGCAGCCCTTCCCACCTCTCGCTGCCTGACTGACCGTGGGCTCTGCTTCATCCCACCACGGCACTCCTGGTGACGTCCACACGTACGTCTACTTATGGGATTTCTGACTCTCCCCTCCTCCGCTCAAACACAGCTCCTGGTGGGGGAAGGAATTTGTGGTGTTTGCTGCAATGTCCCAGACCCCAGAAGGCTGCCAAGGGCAGGCAGGCACCTCATAAATATTTATCCCATGAATGAGTCCATCAATGCGGTGGGCCAGAAATGGAGATTAAAGCGATTCACGGTCTGTGAAATATAAGGGCGCTTTTTCAAATAAAATTAAAAAAAGTACTTTTCTCTCCCCATTTGGTTTCTGTTATTTATAGTCTCCAAACTTTATATCTGACACGTAGTCACTTCAAAGTTACAGATTGTACATAATTTATCTTTGTGAAAGTGAACCAAGAATGAGCCCACACGGGACGAGGTTGGCTGCCCGTAGCAGGGACCCTCTCAGGAGACGGGGGCATCTCTTGGGGACACTGGGGACGAACACAATCTACTGAAGAAGTACAAGCACATGTGTGTCTCAGGCCCTAAATTTTCTAAAGAAATCCCGTGTAAGTGAAAGTTTTGAAAATGGGTGATTCTGACTGTGCACTGTCTAGAAAAGGGGGTGAACGCAGGCAGGTTTCTGTCAGGGGCATTTCAACAGCACCCAGAGGCCCACGTGTCCTGAAACCTATCACGTGACCAGGTGCACTGTCATCTGAGCATCGAGCTCTCAAAACCCGGAGGCTCCGGGGCACTGTGAAGACCATTAGCTGCTTTGGAAGCAGCCTTCAACTACTCTACGGCCCACCAGGGAAAATCATCTCGGGCATAAATAATTCACGTTTTCTCTGTGATAATTACGGCTATCACAGTAAACGGACAAGTTGTCATCTCAGCTCAGGCATCAGCCAGCCTTTGGTGACTCCAGTTTGATAACCAAGGCCTTTCGAGCCTGAACCACTACAGCAGCCGACCCCGTAAACCTGGGGACTAGACCCCGAGGCTCCGGGACCCCCCTGCTGGGCCACAGCCGGCCCCTTCCCACCGCGTCCAGCATCGCAAAGCACGGAGCGGCTCTGATGTACAGGACTTGTTTCCTCGTATAGCACATTCTTGTCATTGTCTGCATTCTTTTTTACAAACGAAGCTTAACACAAAAGTTAAAAAAATAGCTAAAAAACACAAAAAATGTTGATCCTTTACAAGAAACCTCAAATAGCATTTTCTGAAGCAGAAGAGACCTCTTTTTGGGCCTTTCCTGGAGGGGCAGGTTCTAGTGCCCCGGGGCCCCACCCTGTTTCAGGCCTGCCCAGGTCACAGTTGGACGCACAACCCAACCGCATCTCCCTCGTTTTCACGCAGAGCCCGGTAGTCTCGGGGATGCCATGGCTGTGCCGTGCTTGGAAGGAAGCATTAAAGGCCTCTAGGAAAACAGTCTCTACGTGCCGCACGGGAGGTGGCCCTAGCCCCCCGCGTTCCCGCTTTCACAGGGAGACTGCGACCTTCATTCCGCATAAGGCAGGTCTGTCTGGGCCTCCCCGGGCCGGGCGTGTTCCTGGAATGAGCAGAAAGAACTCTTTATGTCCTGGATAACATAAGCTGTAGTGTGGGTTCTCGGGCAGCGAGAGCATATATTTAATGTAGGATAATTATATTCATTTATTTTCCCCAAACATGCTTTCCTCTAAAATAAGTCTTCAGAGGCGGTTTCCTGTTCACCACCAAACTGAATCCTTGCAAATAACAGACGATGCTGGATTCCTACAGACTCTACTGACCAATGTCGTTCTTACCAGACCGTGTAAGATGATGCC